ACAGTGAGTTCTAGGCCAGCCTGGTCTACATAGTGAGTTACTGAACAGCCAGAGATACATAGTGAGACCCGTCTTGGGAACAAACCAACAAACAAAAGCAAGTTAATATATGTGAAATCCTGAATGCACAAAGCACATGCTCAATAACCTGAGATCTGTTAGTGATGGTGGGATTCAATAATAGAGTGTAGGTGGGAAGACAGGGCCTAAAACTCAGGAGACTCCTAGAGGAGAGGGGGTATCCAAGTGCTCTCTTCCCACCAGTCAAAGTGGCTGGAGTCTTACAGCTTATGAAAGACATGGAGTACTCCTTCTACGATCCATCCACTCAGAAAACATGTGCTAGATGCCTGCCTGACAGCTGTGGTTCAAAGTCCACTCTCAACCCTACACCTCTCCCTAGCCTTCATGTTATCTTTGACACTAGTTATCCCCAGTCTGGGCTTTGCACCTCGGAGGCAGGGTGTGTTATGAGCCAGCATCCTCTCTTCTGATCCTGAGGGAGTCAAGAGGACTCTAGATAGAAGCTCCTGCCCTAGAGCAGAACTGCTACGTGTCTGCCGTGCTTCTGTGCTCCCAGGTAGAGGCCAAGGGAAGGAGATGGGTCTGGCTTTGGTGGCCAGCGCAGCTCCTGGTATAATGCTAATACTGATGCAGGAGACTTTATCCAACTATATTCTGACTTAGTAGGCCCATATCTATAACAAGCACCCAGGTGACTGGCATTGGTACTCTAAAGACACTTTGTTTGAGATGTGGTCTCAAGAGCTCAGAGACCCTTGATTCTGGATGGCAGGGCAACCCTTCCATAGGGCTTGCTTTCCATGGCTCTTACTTCCGGTTACCACTTTCTCATCATTGGAGGGTTTTTCTCCACTAATGCTCCGCAGTCCTGTTTGCCATCATGCATTGTGTCTCACAGAGTTATTCTAGATTACCCTGCCTGAAGTGTCTCTGGGCAACCTCCAGCCTCCAGCCTTAACACTGACAGAGCCTGCTTGTTCTCCTTGCTAAAGCAAGTGACCTAGCCCTGACCGAGGCAAACTGTGTCAGGGTCTCTAAGAGGTGGAGAGGTGGACTTGCCATGGGGTCATACGCAGGCTGGAGTCACCTCATACAGGTAGACGGGCGCTGCCTTTGCCTGCCTTTGTCACCGACCTCGACTTTCATAATTACCATGCAAACACGATTTTAGTTTACAAAAAGCTTCCACATACATGATCTCATCTGATAATGAATTATTAGCAACCTCTGTCTTCACAGCCTTTTATTTTTAATTTTCACAATAATTTAATTAGCCCTGTTTTAAAGTATGGAAGCTGAAAGGTGCAGTAAATAGAACCTTTTCACATTATTAATGTATTGGGAGGGGGAATACAAAGCATAAGGAAAGAAACCAGAGGACTGGGAGATGGCTCAGTGGGTAGGAGCAGTTGCTGAGGACCCGAGCTCTAACCCCCAGAATCTCTGTAAAAAGCTGAGCATGGTGGCTTGCTGCCTTTGTACCCAGCACTGTTCTGGGGTGGAGACCGGAAGATCACTGGGACTTGCTAGCTGCTGTCCTAGCTCCAGATTCAATGAGAGGCCTTGCCTCCAGTGGCAGGGGAATAAGACAGAAATAAATAGGCACCAGGCATACACATGGGCATACACCCACAGAAAGAAATGAAAACTACTGGAATCAGGTATGGTGGCTCATACCTATAGTCCCAGCATGCAGAGGGCCGAGGCAGAAGGATTATTTATCTAGTTCAAGGCCTGCATGAGCTGCATAACAAGACCCTATCTCAACAAACCAAAACAAAATTTCTGTTGGCTCGGAAAAATATAGTCTATGATCAGAGTGATTATAGCCAGTGTCAGGTTCAGTCTTGAAACATTCTGGAGATACTAGGACAAGGACATGCATAAAAATACCATGGTGTGTGGCTGAAACAGGAGAAGGGTGAGGAGCATGACTGATCAGTTTAAGGCAGGTGAAAACAAGATGGAAATTGAGAAAAGCTACACAGAGAGGTAATTTTTAAGAAACCATTTAAGAAATTAATTTCCACATCAGAGGCTTGAAGGACAAAAACCTTGCCCAACCATAAGGCCAGCACTACCGTTTTCTGTGAGCACAGCCTCTTGTTAACCCCTTCAGTCCTCACCACAGCCCTGTGAAGCTGTAGCTCTTGTCCCCAAGTTACACCCCAGGAAAGAAATACAGTTACAGAAATTTGTTCAGGACACAAAGAACTGGCCAGCAGCAGCTGAGGCTCCAGCATCTTTGTCCTTAGACTTCCTGAGTCCCCAGACTAACAGAGAGAGAAGGTGAGAGCTAGGACAAGTATACAAGTGACTTCTACAACTGCTCATCCACTATGGTGGCCTTGCTACTGAACACTTGGGGCTGTTTAGACTTAAGATTAAATAAAATGTGATATTCTTGTCCTCTGTCCTGCTGACCACATTCCAAGTACTCAGTAGCCATCGGTGCCAAGTGGCTACAATACAGGATAACAGAGATGGCAATGTTTATAAAACTCTGTGTGTGTGTGTGTGTGTGTGTGTGTGTGTGTGTGTGTGTGTGTGCCTCTCCATGTGTGTGCTCGGGTGTATCTATGTATAAGTGTACATGAGTGTATGTCAACAACCTTAGGTATTATTCCTCAGGTGCCAGCCAGCCAGTTTTTTTTTTTTGACCAGGTTTCTCACTGGCCCAGAGCTCACCAAGTAGGCTAGACTGGCTGGCCAGTGAACCCAGGGATCCACCTGTCTCTTCCTCCCCAGCACTGGGATTACAAGGGTGAGCCACCACAACTGGCTTTCTTTACATGAGTTCTGGCAATCAAACCCAGATCTTCGTTCTTGCTAAACAAGCACTTTAATATAACTAAGGCATCTCCCACCTCTCACTGAAGAAAGTTCTACTAGACAACTCCAACCCGAGTATACTTATTCTTTGTCTCATAACTACATTTTCATCTTTTTTCTTCCTAGGTCTTAAATAAACTAAACTTAAAAAATTGGAGGCGATGCCTCCAAAGGGCACCAGCTTTCTGGTGTGGTTTTCAAAGCTGAAGGGAAGTCCAGCTGTCAGCCAAAGCAGGAGAGTAGTCGATGAAAATTGGGAGGCAGTGGCAGAAAGCTAAGTACCATGGGGAGGGAGGTGCCCTCTTGAAGATTAAGCTTTCAGTTTGAATAGAAAGTGAACCCATCAGCATGAAAAGGCCAAGAGCCAGGCACTCCCAGCTCTAAGTGTGTGGCTGAACTCCAAAGGCACTCTCCCTATTGACCCCTGCAGACAGGTGAGTCTGCAGACTCATGAACCTACATTTAGAGAAGCTTAGTGTCTTGACGGGGGTCTAGACAGTCTGGCCACACCCTCCTGCCTAGGACCCCTATTTCTACCTGCTCTGCCGACGCTACTATTCATGCAGATGGATGTGTTTGCCATCCTGTCTATGAGCATCATTATTCAGTCTGAACACTCGAAAAAGAACATTTCTAGAAAAAAGAGGCATTGCTAAAATGAGTGAAAAGAGTCAGATTATAAATGTGAGCACACCCGTGTGCACGGGGGCGAGTGTGCGGTAATGAACAGGGATGGTAACGCACAAGGACCGCGCAAGGGCCAGGGAGGGGAAGGTTGCGTAGAAAGCTGCATGATCATCCTTCACCCGGAAACAGACTGGCACAGCTCCTCAGTGACCTCAAAGCAGGTTCTAAGGAAACTAGTATTAGGGAAGGTGTCTAGAGAACACCAGCACAGGTTTTGTGCTGTCTCTACTCTATTCCACCCAAGGTAACTTCTCGGCAACAAAGTATCTCAGCTTGTTCCAGTCTGAGTTCTACACATAGCATTTACTTTCTGCCACCGTTTCTCACGGTAATCATGAAAAGCTGGCTAAGGAGCACTAGTACTGGTCCATATTTAGGCGTCCTGGTGACAGAGAGATGTCTCAGAGAGCATATAATACTCTTGCAGAGGACCCTTTGGTTTCTGGTACCCACATTGGGAAAGTCGCCACTGCTTGTGACTCCAGTCTGACTCTCTTCTGGCCTCCGTGGGCACCTGCACTCATAGGGGATATATGTGTACCTGAGCGCACACACACACATACACGCACCATTAAAAATAATAACATAAACCTTAAAAAAAAAAAAAGAATCCTAGTGATCTTCCCAAAGCCATCCTCTTAGCATCCTTGAAGTATGATAGGCAAGCACATAGATCTTAGCAAAGACAGCTCAGCCCTGGGTAAGAAAAGGCAGGCAGTGGCAACCAGTGGTGAGTTTAACTCAAGGCTGTGGCTTAATAGATTTAGGCTTTAGTTCTGGGTCTATATGATCTTCCCTGATAGCGCCATCTGCTCCCTGACATTAATCAGTGGCCTGGAACTTTGTTTCGCTGTGTAGGGAAAACTACAAAGCCATCGTCTTCCTCCAAATTCTTGTCTCCCTTAGTCTATTCCTTCCCCGTACTTCTTCCAACCCAGGGAACCATGTGGTGAACAAACACAGCCCATGTCACACTGTTCACAGACACCAGTGTGTTGTCAGCATCCCCTTCCCTGGCCAGCCTCTTTCCCGGGTTCTTCCCTTTCCCGAAATTTCTCTTCCCCACAGTACTTGTAAACCGCCTCCCAGCAAGGTCAGATGACCCACTCAAGTCCACTTCATAACAACTTCAACAAACAGAAAAGGGCGTGTTTGTCACAAATACGCAGTCAAGTGTTCTTTCCAGAGAACAGAGCGCTTTCTGATCCTATCAAAGTTTGAACTGCAACATAGACAATAAACACTGAGTCATCCTGAAGTACGCTCGCGGGGTGGGTGGCTCAGTGGGTAAAGGGGCTTGCTGCTAAGCCTGACGGCCCGAGTTCCACACGGTGGAAGATGAGAGCCAGAGGTTGTCCCTCCAGATGCAGTCCCCCATGCAGTGCACACATGTACCTTCACATGCACACACATGCACACATAGCAGATAAATAGATAATCTGACCATGTGCTCTTACCTGAAGGAAGCACAGCTTGCCCCCATGAAGGAATAAGAGGGCAGATCACAACATGGAGTCTCAGGTGCCACCAGCCATTTTCAAACAGCCTTGTCACCATCTGCTGCCACAGCAGCCCTTCCTCCTGCTGATGTCAAGAACGGGGCAACAGGTCTTTTGGAGGCCGTTTGGTATGAATGCCGAATGGCACTCAGCCATTGTATATTTTCTGGTAAAAACCCTTGCTTCTGAGACAGTGCCATCTGAATCCTGGCCTTGCTTTCACTACACAATTCGAGGCAAGTCTTGGGAGCCCGTTTCCCACTCTGAGCAAATTAGTGTCGTCTTCTGAAGCAAATGTGCTTGTGGCATCTGGCTGCTGCAAGGCTGAGGCAGAGGCAGCCCTGCCTTCGTGGAGGCTTAATGGGGCTTCAATCAGATCAGGCATGGTGAGTGCTCATTAGGACTCCATCTAGGGCATGAACCGCCACCACAAGCAGGTAATAGCTTGAAAGCATTTAATGGAGACTCTAGGACAGAAGCCTCATTTTCAACTTCATGTGGCTTCATCCCAAAAGAGAGAGTATCAAAACAACCGGGTTTGTGTGCACACAGCGTTCACCATAGGGAAGCAAGAACATAGGGCTGGATTTGTTCTCCTTTTGCTTAGGCCAGCATGTGTGACTGTGTTATAGTAACCACATGAAGTGTGCACACGTTGGCCAGGAAGAGGGGCATGTGGGCTTATTCTTTGCGACCATGACCATGTGTGGTTCTCACATCCCTGGAGGCTTAGGAAACCTGATAGCCAGTGCTATGGTGGTGCTTTCTTCCACTGCTGGCGGGTATTTTGCTGAGTGCCTCCGACACTATATCTGAGCTGCAGTTGCTGTGTCTCCCAGGCACAGGTAGATTTGAAAATAGTGCTTTATGAAGTCCCACCTTAGCTGTGAATGCAGAGGTTTCTGGGGACTTCTGCCAGTCTTCAGTCCAGGCTAACATACAAAAGAAGCTCCTGGCTCTGGGTTCAACCCTGACCCCAGAAAAAGAAAGAAAGAAAAAAGGGGGCAAGAGGAGAGGGAAGGGATGGAGAATGGAAGAGAATGGGGAAGAGGAGAAATATGGGTTAGAACTGAACATGGTGGTAAACATCACTAATCCCAGCAAAAAGGCTGGAGCAGAAGGGTCACAAGTTCAAGGCCAGTCTGAGCCAAGAAGTGAGACCCCGCCTCAAAACAAACCAAAACATACACAACAACACCAAAAAAGCTTAGAATGGGTAGCTTAAATTCCACAAATTGAGTTGGGTTTGTGTACACATGTTATGGAGGCTGGCATCTGAGTCAGGATCTAGCACTTCTGGCTTTCAGAGGATCATCTTCTCAATTCATCCTTATCATGGGCAGAAAGAAAGCAGACTTTCTGCTGCTTCCTACAAATATACTGCCCCCACTATGAGCACCGCCCCCCCCCAGTTTCACCTAGCTCTGATTAGCAGTATGTGCACACACACACACACACACACACCGCCAAAGGTCCGATCTCCAAGACCCTCCACACTGAGGGTAGCCTTCATCATGTGTGTTTGAGGCGGAGAGTACAATCCATTCCACAGCTGACCTCGGCCTCCCCTCCCCCACCTTGGCTTCACTCTGTAAGGCTGAGAGGAGAATGCTTAGCATCCAGCAGCTGAGAGCTGCCCCTGCTCTCACAGAGCTCGGGCCTTTAAAGCCCAGAAATATTTAAATAGCAGTAGTTATGTGAGCTATGAAACAACACACATATCTAGGCCAGGCCAGGCTTCCCTGAGGAAGTGACCTGAGAGCTGAGAGTGAGGGGAGTCACCCTGTTGCGGGCAGTGCCCATGAAGCAGCCAAAGCAGAAGCCCCCACGTGAGACGTGAGACGCCAGGGAGCCAGGCTCAGGCATCTCAGGCCCTTCCATTGTTCCCCACCGGGGTATAAGCACACATGGGTGGCTGGATCTCCCCCTGGGGATGCTTTCAGCCCAGAAAGGATCCTCTCTGCTGGCTTTCATCAGCAGAGAGCTGAGTAGCGGCTCGCATTTGCTCCTTGTCATGCCAGTGGCTTGGGTTCAGGAGGGGAGAACAGGGCATGCTGGCAGACCAGCAGAAGAAGAATGTCTTCATTCTGCATCTACCCCCTCCCTGCAGCTGGATGTATGCACCTCCCTTATCCGTTATTCATAACTGAAAAAAAAAAAAAAGGAAAGAAAGACGGGGCTTTCATCAGCAATCCCTGAAAGACGGAAACAAGTGCAGAAAAACACAACTGAAATGCACCAGCGGTCCTGTGTGATAGGTCCTCTGTGAGCAGCGCTTGCCTCAAGCCGAAGGACTTGCTTTTTGCAAACAGTTGTTATCTGGTAGAAACATTCTGTCCATCCGCTTTGCTTCAAAACACTTTAAATCTGGTCTTCTTTGCCACTGAGTTTTAGACCATAAACGGTCTCTCTAAAGACATCTTGGCAGTTTTCTGTGTCCTGCAAACTCTCCAGACCAGGGGTAGCTGTTGAGATGACTTGCCCATGATAATATCTGTGGCTTTCCTGTTTAGCGGTGGGTTTTTGTGACCCTGTCTGCTCCTTGTACTGTGTTCCAGTCCCCATTTTCCCCCATTTACTTTGTGCATGTTTATGCAGTAGGTTCACTTGTGTTCCCCAAACCTACACTGTCTTGTAACATTTTCTCCCTTCCTTTTTGATTTTCCTGTTTCTATTTAAGATAAAGTCTCACTATGTAGCTAGCTCTGCTGGTCCAGAACTCCCTGTGTAGACCAGCCTGGCTTCTGACTCACAAGGGTCATCCTTGTCTCTGCCTCATATGTGCTAGAATTAAAGGTGTGTGCCATCACTTTCCAACTCTTTCAGTTTTTTGCTGCTGTTTTGGGGACAGAGTTTTGTCATGTAGCCCAGGCTGGCCTAGCATTTGAAATGTAGCCCGGGCTGGCTAGCACTAGTTACATAACTCGGGCTAGTTACATAACTCACAGTAATCCTCCTGCTTTAGCCTTCTAAATCCTGGAATTACAGGTACACACTATCACACCCAGCTTTCTCAATGCATTTTAGGAATGCCATGTGTATAACTGAAACACAAGAAAAGAATGGCTACCGTTTCTCTCTGGTGACCACGTAGCAGTCGGGTCTGTGATAGGCTGGCCTGGAATCGATTCTCACCCAGTGGCTTCTCTGTGGGACCCAGAAAATTTCAGAAGTGCTAATTTGTCCTCTCATCTGAATCCTTGGCTCCTAGATCATAATGAATGTTCCATTAAGCCTTTTGTGTGTTGGGTTTGTTTTGGTTTTAATGTTCTTATTCATTTGTTTTTAGTAATTACCACCAAGATTCAGTTCACTCTGTTGTATGAAAAGTCCATTCCTAGGCCGGCGAGGTGGCTCAGAGGGTGAGGGTGTTTACCACCAAGTTTGGCAATCTGAGTTCAATCCTTAGGACCCACGCAGTGGCAGGATGACGATGGAGTTCCAAAAGTTGTCCTTTGACCTCTACATACTCGCTGTGGCATGTGCATGCCTGCACCCCCCCACCCCCACACACAATGGATGACTAATATAAAAAGAAAAGTCCATTCCTACAAAAGCAACAGCATTGCTTCTTATAATTCTGCTAGGTACACTGGTAGCAATCCCTAGAAGGAGAAAGGCCCTCAACAATGCTCCTTCGTTGCTACAGTGATTCTCACTGGCCCTCACGGGTCTCCGTGTCATCCCCTCTGTGCTCCTCAGTCCCCTGAGCATTTTTCTGTGGCTGCTCACTGTGTCTGGCAGCCAAGCAACATTCAGCCTCCTGCTCACTCCCACCAAAAGATGAGTTAAGTTCCTCTCTCCCCTCCCTCGGGGCCCTGCAGTGGGCTTCCCAGGATGACGGCAGGCTAAGCAGCAGGCATGCCATGGCTGCCCTGCACTCCTGTGATGATGACGCCTGTGCTCCCCAACACTGGTCTCTTCCTCAGCATAACACGGAGGTAAGAAGCGACTCTTCCCTGTGCTGTTCCTTCTGCCTTGAGCTTCCTCATCCCATGAATCCTTTGCTCTTCCAGGAAGTCTACCTCATTCCTGAGGGTCTAAATCAGAATGGGGATGACTGCGGGCGGGCCTTGTGCTCTGCGTGTCCGTGCCCCCCCCTCGTGAAGTGTGCTCTTTCTCTTCTGCACAGCTGCCACATCTTATTGCATCTCTTCCTTTATGTGATTGTCTGACCTGTCTCTGAGAAGGAGCTCAGTGTCTGACTTGGGTTGGACCAAGGTTGATTGTTACTAAATGCACAAGGAAGAAAAGAAATAAGTGAATGGAGATAAAGGTGGGGGCGAGAAGGGAACGGGCGCGCTCGCATTTCTTGCTTGCTTCAGCCTTGGCTGAATGTAGCTACAGTACGTCTAAATGCAGAATGGGCTGAAATTAAAGCAGTGTGGCACAGGAGACATGGGGCCCCACTGAATTAAAACTTAGGACCGAAGTTGACTGAAAGCTTCTCTTAAGCGTCGGGGAGAGCATCTTCTAGCTACAGGGAAGGCACACAGTAACAAGAACCTTGCGTGACGGGAAGCTTGCTTCCTTTGTTCTCGACAGGGATGGAGTTAGTGTGATATTTTTTTTTGGTTTTACGAGATAGTGTGATATTTTTCCCCTTGAGCAATGTGTCTAGTGTGCAGTATACCAACCTCAAGGGCAGCAAACATGGCATCTCATGAGCCTGACGGGGTTGGAGCTTTCAGAAGGGCTGGAGAATTACTTGGTTGCTGCTGTGCCTTCTGCTTCTCATTGCGGAAGCCCTGGCCAGCTCCTTACCCACAAATCCCTAACATAGCCCACAGCACTCGGGGAGGATTCCCTGCCACACAGTGATGACATTCAGCTAAGCCACAGTTTCCTTGACCCAAGGAGGAAAGCCTTGTGTGTGGTTTGGGGTTGGGGGCGTGGATGAGCAAGCGCAGATTTTTTCCCATTGCCCAGTGGCTCTAAATTGCAACCTCTCTTTTCATTTTCCATTATGCCTCAAACACAACTGTGCCAGAGCTAGACGAATGGATTCTGTCTGGGAGGATGATCCAGACAGCTATAAATTAGAGTTTGTGTTCAGAGATTCCAAAAATGTGGCCTCATGTAGGGTGTCCCTGAGACTAGTCACCTCCTCCAGAGTCTGTGTGGTGGCTGCTGGTTTGGGCCCAGGGCCTCTGTCAATAGATTTTGCTTTGTGTTTGGAAACTGTCTTTCCATTAAAGAATGAGAGAGACATGAAAGTAGGGAAGCCTGTGAGGTTTGCTGGACAGACTCATCCCAGGCAGCCCCAGGCATTTCTAGGGACAGCTTTAACCAAGGACAGTGCTCCTCCCTGCACATAACAGCCAGGGACCCCAAGGCTGGCACCTTCCTGAGTTAAGCACAGACCAGAAGACTCTCCATTTCCCATATTGGACAAGAAAGCCAGTATGCAATTCTTCTCAAAAGCTATGCTTTCAAGCCTAGAAGACTAAGGCATAATTAATGCAGAAGACAGAAGGGAAACATCACCTGCAATTCCACCCTTAAAGATAAATAGTGCCATGCTTTAGCATGATTTCATCTCATGTTTCCGTGTCAGCCTCTTCTTTTAAGACTCTTTCAAAAGACAGTTGAGGCCAGCTGTTTTAGCTGCCCCATAAATTACCCAATTAGTGTCCTCTCTAAGGGCTGGGAAGCCTTAGTTATTCCACAAGGGAGTAGCCAGGGGGGAGAGCCCTCACTAAAGGCAGGCCTGCATAGTTCTTCAGAAGCCAGCCCCACAGGGACTTGGCTCTGGGAAGCGAGAGAAGAAGAGGAGGAAAGCCCTCATAAATATAGCCAGGTAACCCTGCCAGGGCAGCACCACATCCCTCTCAAGCAGCCCTACAGGAGAGAAGGAACTGCCCAGGAAGACCTCTGGCCTAATCCCAGCTGGGTTATTACCTCTGCTCTGCATTCTCTCCCTGACTTCTGCCAGCATCTTGGGGTGCTCTCCTCTTTTCAGATGAGAGCAGACCCTCACTGTCTGGTGAAAGGCTAGGACTGCCCAACTGTAACTTGAAGAGTTGGAGACACATGATGCTCTTTTTACATCTCTGATGATTTCCCCATAGTGCTTTGCACTCACGAGGTACCCCATAAATAACTGTTAATTGATCGATACAGCAATATTCAAGAGTGATGCTGTAGAAAAAGCACCTTGGCTGGAGCCTGCTGGCCTGCAGTTGAGACAGTCCTGAGACTGACACGCAGGGCTTCCAGCTTAGACATGGAGCCTGTGACAGCCTTCAGCCTCAGGAAAGGAGCTTGGTGATGACTCTACCAGCTGCCAGCCTGCCCAGCCACTGACTGTGCCAGCCACTCAGTCTCTCCATGAGCCACATGGCATACAGACCCTGCCTTTTCAGAGAAACATTTTTTCCTTTCTCGCTTTCCATGGAAACTCAAAATAGCAACAACAACCAAAAAAAAAAAAAAAAAAACCTTCCTTGCCTGCAAAACCATGCCTGGGCAGGCAGGGGCAGGGCAGTGGTCACCATGTAGGAATCAAGAAGAGGGGGTCACAGGAGTCTCTGAACAGAGTTCTTGTTGGAAACTTCGTCATGAAGTGTAGGTGGGCTCCCAGGTTGGTGTGGGTTTGTTTGTTTAGGTTTTCTTTCTTTCTTTCTTTCTAATTTAGAAGTTGGCCTCCCCCAGGTCTTAGAGTTCATCTTGCTCTTGGTGACCTCCTAGGACAGTGACCACTCGCTAAGGTGTTGGTGAGGAAGTCCAGTATACCCAGCAAGAAACAACAACGCACAGGACAGATGCCTGGCAGGGAGAGTGTTGTTGGAGCAGTGGTTTTGACACACACTTTCATTCCATGGGTGCCAAATAACCACGGGAAAGCCCAATGGCTCAACAAACCCTGTTGAATCGAGACAATACAGAGCCAATTAGTTACTTCAGGGCCCTGAGTGGCACCAAGCCCATGCTTTTAACTTTCAGCCTGGTTTCCACCCTGGTAAGACATGAAGAGTGGACAAGATGGTCTCCCAGGTCCCTTGAAGCCTGGGCACCGTGTGCCCACAGCCTGCTCACCAGCCTATGTACACACTCTCCCCTCCAAAGTAAACACACTGCTGCTTATCTTCCAGCTGGCTGGCTCAGCCGTCATTGCATTTGGACTATGGTTTCGGTTCGGAGGCCCCATAAAGGATCTATCATCAGAGGACAAGTCCCCAGAGTATTTCTATGTAGGTAAGTGACTTCAGTTTTCCTAAAGGTTGGGTCTGAGGGACAGGGTAGAGGCAGGAGACACTGCCTGAGCCTATGCACCTATGTATATCACCCGGTACTGGGGAATGTCCCTCTGTGGCCCCTTGCTCCAGCATAGAAGAAGACCCCAGTGAAACTGATTTGTTTACTTAGCAAAGTCTCAAGGAAATGAATGTAGCTAAAATTCATCTTAAGGAGTTTGGAAGCATCCTTTGTCACTGGAGAAGTTCACCGGTCCATTCAGGGTGTCATGGAGGCCCTGATGAGTCGGCATCTTACTTTGTGGTGTGGTGTTTTAGCATGGGAACAACTCAAAATGAAGAGATGCTTCAGAGTTTTGGGATGCTGTGATGGTTTGAAAAAAAAAAAACAGCCCCCACAGGCTCATAGGGAGTGGCACTGTTAGGAGGTGTGGCCTTGTTGGAGTAGGTGTGGCTTTGTTGGAGGAAGTGTGTCACTGGGTGTAGGCTTTCAAGTCTCAGAAGCTCAAACCAGGCCTAGTGGCTCAATGTCTCTTCCTGCTGCCTGCAGATCCAGATGGAGAACTCTCAGCTCCGTGGCCAGCACCAAGTCTGTTTTCATGCCGTCAGGGTTCCCGCCATGGCAGTAATGGACTAAACTTTGAACTGGAAGCCAGCCCCAGTTAACAGTTTTTCTTTAGGAGAGTTACCGTGGTCATGGTGTCCCTTCCGAGCAACAGACATCCTAGCTAAGATTGGCACTAACCTCAGAACTTCTGTGAGTAGGGACGGCTGGGCAGTGGGAAAGACCCCACGGTGAGGATGGGAGGGAGCTGTCCTTAGACAAGAGGCCCAGACAGAGGGGCCACAGCCACACCTCCTGCCAAGATCGGAAGGAGATGGGGGAGGAGAATGGGATGACTTGCAGATAAAGCTTACCAGGGGCTTTGGCCCCTCTGGTGTTTTAGCCCTGCTCTGCCATCCTATGGTTGACTCCAGCACTGTGTCTTCATACAGCAGAATCCACAGGAGGAAAAGGGAGTTTCACTTCATGTGTCCTCTTCCAGAAGTCTCCTCTTGCAGCCTATTGACCAGAATTACGTCATATATATAGTTAATCTTAAACCTCCCATGGCCCAGAAGAGGATGGCAATGACTGTCTCTCTATTTTGGTCCTTCATTTCCTTGTGGTACCTAGTGCTATGTTTCTACAAAAACCCAGTCCTCCAACTTCTAACCCTGACTATGTGCTAGTTTGCTGCTGCTTACCATGGTAACGGCAAGGGAAGATGTGATTGAGGAGCCACGGCACCAAGGATGGGAAGAAGGATTCCAGCTATTTTTGACTGTTTCATCTCTTTTGCTCTTCTGGGTAACTTGTTCATTCTCAATCCAATTAGCTTAAGAGTGCTGAGGCCAACAAGCAGCTGGCTACATAAGTGGGTTGGGGACCAGCACTAGAGTTAGGCTGGGGAGTGTAAGGGGGTCTGTTGACAGGAAAGAGGCATGCTCTACTGGAATTAGAAGGCTAGAGCTTCTGCCAGCTATTGACCATGGCAGGGAGGATACCTGACATGTTACCAAAGGAAAGCTGAAGCCAGATGGCCACAGGCTGGATTCTGGTCACAGCATTTGAGTCCCTGAGATGAGTGCTAGCCTGGACTTTTAGTTACATGGCTGAATTTCCATTGCATTCAAGTCCACTGAAGCAGGTTTCTGTGGTTTGCCATCATAGACAGATTTCTGACATGCATGGCCACACAAATACAACATGAAAACACATCTCTGGTGTCTCAGGCCATGTGTGTCCCATTTGGCTTAGTTTAGGAAACAAAGCAGGAATGTTTGAGTGTAGCATCTCCTTCTCCTGCTCAATACAGGAACCTCTCAGACTGGTAAATACCCAACCCTGACTTTTGTCACAGTGTTTAAACGACAACGTAAAACAGAGCCCACCTGTGCCTGCCTACATTCGCTCAACATTTTTGAGTTAATAGATCACTGGGAGATGTTTGTAGGTCTGTGGACCTTTACTTCCACCTCATATCTGAAGCATCACAGGTGGGCCTCTCCTGGTTCACTTGTCCATTTCCAGCCCCACAGGACCACCCTTCCTTCTGCTGGGCAGGAGGCACCTCCTCACTCATATGGCCTGAGCGAGGGGAAGCTGGTGCTTGTTTGGTTTTACTTTGGGGCACCTTGAAGCAGGGTGTCATGTAGACCAGGCTGGTCTAGAACTTACTCTATAGTTGACAATGTCCTTGAACTCCTGATCCTCCTGCCTCTACCTCCAATGTACTAGGATTCCAGATGTGGGCCACTATGCCTAAATGTTCTGTGTATTTTTCTTTAGACTATGTTTTAGAATCATCAGGTCATACTCATTGTTCTTTTGTTAAACACTGTCCTAAACAGGTTTAACATGTTTAAGTGTTTCTTCAAGATATAAAGCTGCAGTCAGGTGCAGTGGCACCAGCCTGTAGTCCTAGCTTCTTGGGAAGATGAGGAAGATCACAGAGAAGGGAAGGAGAAGAGACATCACTCAGCCTAGAGTGAGAAAACCTCCAGGAAGACCCATGGCATAGCTCCCTGCTTCTGGAGAGACAGCGGCAGACTTTGTAGGATTGTTCCATGTTTGTAGGGATGGTCTCACTTCTAGCATCCTAGTTCTCGCACCATGCTAAGGGAGTTTCTCTTTGTCCTAGCGCTCTGTACCCAACGTTCAAGCCAGACAGAGTAGCAAGCAGTAGCCAACGCAGGAAGACACGGTTACGGGAAATGAGGACAGCGGGAGAGAGTCAGACCTAGTGCCGCCTGCTGCTGCCCTTTGGTATCCCTCTGGGCCCAGGCCAAGGCCTGGAGGCTGACCCAGGGTCTTGGTGTCTTTGGTTGCTTAGGTGAGGAAGGAAGAGACTGGCAAAACTGGAACTGGCAGCCAGGGGCCTGGGCTACCTGGGGTTTCCTAGACCTTCTCCACTCTAGTTTCTTCCAGGGAACTCTTGGGCAAAGCCCCTGCTTCCTTCTGACCCAACAACCTGCACATCTGATTTCCTGGGCCAGTGTGCCCCAGTGTGCTGGATGGGCAGATGCCTCAGGGTCTTCCTTCTAGGAGCATAGAGTGGGGAGTGGTCCTCTCTGCCTCAGGAAGCTGGAGCCTGGGCTGGAGCACATGAGCGCATGTCTGTAAGCAGAGGATGTGAGCAGGTTTCTCCGTTGGGGGTGCCCACACAAACAGGAGCCACAGCCTGGCTGCATCTCTCTCTCCCTGTTGAATTCCGAGTCCCGGGGCCTGGCTTTGATTGTGTGGAAGGAAAGTGTTCCGTTGCTAAACATCAGGGCTGGCTTGCCTTTATAAACACTCTGACTCATTGTGGTAATATTTTTTAACTTCATACCTGACACCATGCTAGCTGGGTAACAGAAAGAGAGAGACTAACTGCCGTGTCTGGACAGTTTCTCCAAAGCCATTCTACAACAAATCGATGATTATCCCAGCACTGAAGGTTAAAACCCTGAGGGAGAGGACAGCCAGTTTTGGCAGCCTAGAATTCTAGACCCTAGCCTGTTCTTTTGGGAAAAACACCTAGGAACTTTTCTCAAGAACTTCCCTACTGTTTATACATGGATGATTTCTAGCTAAGAAACTCACTGCTCTGAGTGTCTACTGAAAACGTAGCATGGGAGTTTGGGGTACACACTCTGGCTCAGTTCCAGTTTATCCCTTATAATTGTGCAATTTTCATTTTCTGCATTTCTGATTCTTTAGCTGTGAATGTGAACCTGTGTTAGTACAGTGCCAACATAACTAGACATGAGTTGTGATTAAGTACTAACTCTCACTATTCATGTACTAGGGGATGCTACAAAGGACCACCTGATGAGGAAGGACAGCATGAAGAGATAGAGGAGCCATGGGGTGGGCTTAAAGACCAGTTTATAGCATGGGCCTTGTCATCAAGCAGGTTCTTGAGATGATATGTGTCAAGTGCATAGTATAGGTATCCCCAGCGAGGGCTGGGGCAAGAGGAAGTAGTACTCCCCCCCCCCAGTGATGTGGAGTAAGATGCATAAAGTGCCTAGAACAGAACTTGCTAACTGGTAGCTGCTGCAGCTGTTATTTAGAAAGCACCAAGTAGTCTTTTCTTTTCCCACGAACTCAGACTCTAATCACATAGATACATACAGTCAACCCTTAGAATATGTGGGTTCACACCCATTGGTTCAGCATCTACAAATTCAAGTAACCCCAGATCAAAGATTTTTTAATGCATCTCTCTTCTGAACATGTACATTTTCATGCCATTAATCCCTAAATAATACAGTCTGACAACTATAAAACACTTGTGTTGTACTAGACAGTATAAGTAACCTAGAGATTATTTAAAGGATACAGGGGCATGTGAGTGGGTTATATGCAACTACAATGCCATTTTATAAGGGACTCATGTGTTCACTGGTTGGTATGTGAGGGATCCTGGGACTAATCCCCATGGAGACTGAGTGGTGGCAGTAATTATGTATATTCAAGGGAAGCTGGAAGGGAGACGTATGCAGAGACGCAAAAAAAATTTAGATGAAAAACTGATCATCAGCAGTTGCATAAGACCATCTGCTGCCAAGATCAGCGGAGTTGGTGAGCATGACGAGATATCCATTGCCAACAAAGATTTTTAAACGATTTATGCCAAGGGCCCTTTAACGGGCCCTCTCGCTCCTTTGCTGACTGAAATGGTACTCCTCCCTGTACTGACACAACTCTGAGGAGGAGTGGAATCATCAGGCAGAAGCTGTCCCTAGGAAAGCCCAGCCATTAATGATAAAAATGCAATTTCAAAGGGTGTTCTTTTTTCAAATTAAGAAAAACAAGACTTAGAAAACATACGTGTCTGTCCTGTGTCCCCTGCTGCTGGGGAAAGGACTCTAAGGAAGCCATCTTGGAATTAAAGTGTAGCTCTAAGCTAATTGATGCACCAGCAGCTCTTTTTAAAACCATACATTAGCTAGCTACCCTTGGAAACCGCAAGAGGCTTTACATTGTGCAGAATCTTATGGCCAGATTTGGCAGGCCCAAGGAATTGGTTGCGTATGAAGTTCCCTGTGATTCTCTCCCGCTCCAGAGAGAGCCTCATTCAGAATCAGGAGGACAGTTGTATCTTTTCATGCAAACAGAGGCTTGCTGTGGCGAGGTTTCAGGAACAGAAGCTGCTAGTACACTCAGGTTGTTCTGCCCATACTGGGGCATTGGATACAGTTCCAATGAGCACATCTTGTGGGAAGCTAGCTCTCTGTTTCAGAAGGGCAAGGATGGTTGCCAGGGAGACCAAGTGAACTGTGCCTACTGGGCCCCCCCCCAATACATTGGGCACCTGCTTCTTGGGCAGCGTCACTTTTCTGTTTCAGACCTTCTTGGGATGTGAGCCCCCATCCCACTCGGCTGACACTGGAGAATACAACCCTTTGGTGACCTGATACATGCTCATTGTAATGGGATCTCAGAATGTGTGTGTAAGTTACAGATGCTCAGTGGGATGAGGTAGCCTGTCTGGAACTTTGAATTTATTTTGCTTTATCCATGGGAGAAATGTAAACTGACTGAGGTTTCTCACTTGTGCACTTGTAAGCATGGTAGAAGAAGATTTTTAGACATGAAATCTGCTGAGAACTGTGGGACCCCGTGAAGGTCTAAGGCACACCAGAGCAGGACGTGGTCACATCAAGATGCTTTCCAGCTTCCTGGAGTGTGGGATAGATGAGGATTTCAGGAGCTGGAAACTAACTGTGTCTTCACACTGGATCAATGGCAGTTGTAGTAGCAGTGATGGGAAGGCAATGACAATCTAAGCAAGAAATCGGTATAAGCTGGCTCTCCCTTGAGGCATTATGGGAAGGAGCTGGTAGGATGTTGTTGCTGCAGCATTGACATCGCTGCTGCTTATTCAGCCTGCTTGGATAATGAGTGTAGGGTGGGAGTCAGGCCTCCTCCAACATCTTGTGATGGCAGGAATGTTCTCTTACCTAAGCAGCCTGCTTCAAGGAACTGAGGAGATGATGGAAATGAAAGAGCTTTGAAA